TGAGGGAGAAATAAAATATTTCCCAGGCAAACAAACAAGAAAGGAGTTTGTCACTACTAGACCTGCCCTACAGGAAATGCTTAAGAATGCTCTAAGCATGGGCCGGGCGCGGTGGCTCACGCCTGTAATCCTAGCTATCTGGGAGGCCAAGGCGGGCGGATTGCTCTAGGTCAGGAGTTCGAAACCAGCCTGAGCAAGAGCGAGACCCCATCTCTACTATAAATAGAAAGAAACTAATTGGCCAACTAATATATATAGAAAAAATTAGCCGGGCATGGTGGCACATGCCTGTAGTCCCAGCTACTTGGGAGGCTGAGGCAGGAGGATCGCTTGAGCCCAGGTGTGTGAGGTTGCTGTGAGCTAGGCTGACGCCACGGCACTCACTCTAGCCTGGGCAACAAAGCGAGACTCTGTCTCAAAAAAAAAAAAAAAAAAAAAAAAAAAAAAAAAAAAAAAAGAATGCTCTAAGCATACTCACCAGTATAAAAACGCCAAAAAGTTAAAGCTCACAGTGCTTATAAAACAATAACACAAGGGAGAAAACAAAGCATCTAAGTGTCATTTAACATAAAGAACAGAACAGTACTTCATATATCAATATTAATATTGAATGTAAATGGTCTTAATACACCATTTAAAAGATATAGACTGGCTAAATGTATAAAAAAAAAACACGCTAAGTATATGCTGTGTCTACGAAACCCTTCTAACTCACAGCGATTCTCATAGTCTCAAGATAAAGAAATGGAAAAAATATTCCATGCAAAGGAAACGAAAAGTAGCTATTCTCATATCAGATAAAATAGACTTTAAGAAGATGGCAGATGATAAAAACCACCAGCCAGAGTGTCTCTGCAAAAAATACAGATTATAGAAGAAAGTAGAAGAAATAACCAAGCAACAAGTATACATTGGATGATAGTAGGAAGGAGGGGTGCCAGAGACTATGGGAGACTCCACGGGAGGAGGTTGAAGCAGAAAACTGGAAGTAGAGACCTCCAAAGAAGCTTGGAGACCAGTGGCAAGGGTAGGTGGAGCAGATAATGTTCTCCTCCCTTGCATCTCGGACTGCTGGTGGGCTCCCCAGTGGATGCAGAGACCTGTGGACACCAGTCCAAAGATGGCCACTGCCAGTGAGTGGTAAGGCTGTTGTGGACATGGCACCAGGCTCCCAACTCTCTCGGGACACCTCCCTGTGCAAAGACCCTACCTGCTTGTCAGGCAACATATTGCTACATCCTCTCCTTCCCCTACCCTATCTATGGCTGCCAAGAGAGACAATATAGCCACCAGCCAGAGGCATCTCCAGGGAAAGGGAAATTTCCTATTGGGGTCCCACAGCAGACTGAGGGGTATTCAGATGGTGAGCTCCCTACTCAGCAGCCATCCCAGGTGCTTCTGGCCTGCTGACTACAGGAGAAGTGGGCAGACTCTAGGGCTGAGACATTGACCCAGCTTGGGCACCCCATGAGTGAATTAGGATCGGCACTCCTCTACCTGGTGGGGTCAGGGATTTAATTCCAGGGCTCAGAGGTCAGACCTGTGGACCAAATCCTGAGCACACAGATCTCACATTGACCTAGGGCACAGAAGGGATATTCGTGAACAAGCCCACTAATGTGTGTGTGCCTTCATGGGCAGGTCAGCATGCTTGAGGGCAACTCTCCTCCCACAGGAGGACCATATGCCCAGCTCAGGCTGTGATCCTGCACAGGGAACCTCCTGGCCTGCATCACAGCCATGGGGAACCTGCTGGCATGAGGTCCTATCTGCTGGACCATTCCAGCCTCTCCCTGACTGCTTTGCCAGAAAGCAGAGAACAGACCTTTGACTCCTGCTAAAAGCATCTGTGGCACTCGAGGACAGGCTTACCCAATGCAGCTCTGCCAGTCTCACTCCCAGACCAGCCCTCACTGAGGTGGAGAATAAGGACACACCTGGAAATACCAGGGACCCACTCACCACCTGAGACATTACAGTGCCTCTCCAAAGGAACAAGATCTGGTTACAGGATCCAAAAACAACACTGTAGCCTGCTCCTCCCAGCAAGTGGCACCTACTGAGAGGGAGGTCATTCTGCACACACATTTACTGCATCTACTGACTCATCATACAGGGTGTGGTTGAATCTCACCCACAAACACCACCTACTGGCTCAGAGACTGAACAGGGTGTGTCATTATTCAAATTATATTCTAAAGTTAAGAAGCAACATTTGATCCAGATGGGAAGAAATCAGTGAAATAACTCTGTAAGTATGAAGATTCAAACTGAATGCCCACTCCAAAAAAGGAATACCAGACCTTTAGAAATGGACATCAACTAAAATAAGAACACTAAAATGACAGAAGAAGAATTTTGAACATGGATTGTAAGAAAATTCAATAACTTGCCTGAAAAAAATGGATAACCAACACAAAGAAACCACACACACACACACACACAAATCCAGGACTTGGAAGAAAAATTCACTAAAGAAATTGAAATAATAAAGGCGAATCAAACTGAACTCCTGGAAATGAAGAATATATGCAGGAAACTACAAAACACAGTGGAAAGCCTCAAAAAAAGGTGGGATCAAGCAGAAGAAAACATATCAGAGTTGAAGATAACACCTTCCAATTAAATAAATCAGTCACAAAGATAGAGCAGATAAATAAGAGAAAAGCCTATAAGAAATATGGGATTATGTGAAGAAACCTAATGTGAGGGTTATAGGATAGAGATTCCAGAAGGGGAAGAAGAAAACACACAAAGGTTGAGTAAGCTATTTGAAGATACAATAGAGGAAAATTTCCCAGGCCTTGCTAAAAATCTAGATATCCAAGTACAAGAAGCTCAAAGGGCCCCTGGGAGATTCAACGCAAACAGGAAAACACCATGACAGGCAGTCATCAGACTGACTGAAATATCAACTAAAGAGGACCTTTTAGGAGCTGTAAGGTGAAAGAAGGAAGTAACATACAAAGGAAAGCCAATTTGAGTAATGCCAGACTTCTCCAATGAAACCTTACAAGCAAGGAGAGCCAATGACCCCATTCCCACTCTTCTGAAACAGAATAATGCCCAGCCTAGAATCTTGTACTCTGCAAAATTAAGTTTTGTATATGAAGGAGAAATCAAGACATTCTCAGATAAGCAAAGACTGAAGGAATTCACCAAGACAAGAAAAGCCCTTCAAGAAGTACTCAAAACAGAGTTACCCACGGATCCACACAATAAATACTCACGAATGTAAATCTATTCACAAGCTAAAGATCTAAGTCCAGATACTACAATGACTCAAGAGAGAGAACAAAGCAACAAAGTTCAACCCATCAGAATGAACAGAAATCTGCCCGACCGATCAGTTCTCACAATAAATATGGATGGCTTGAACTCCCCACTCAAGAGACATAGGCTGGCTGAATGGATATAAAAATACAAACCAAGTATCTTCTGCCTTTAGGAAACACATCTAACCTGCAAGGATGCAGTTAGACTGAAGGTAAAGGGGTGGAGAACAATATTTCAAGCAAAAGGAAGCCAAAAGAAGGCTGGCATTGCGGTTTTGATTTCAAATAACTTAGTTTTTACATCAACAAAAGTAATAAAAAACAAAGAAGGTCACTATATAATGATGAAGGGTACTGTTCAACAAGAAGACATAGCAATTCTATATATGTATGCACCCAACTTAAGTGCACCCAGATTCATAAAGCAAACTCTATTTGATTTAAACAAATGGATAAACAACAACACATAATATTTGGCGTCTTTAACACCCTTCTGACTGCACAGGAGAGATCCTCCAAACAAAAATTAACAAGGAAATAATGGACTTAAACAAAACTCAAGAACAAATGTGCCTAACTGACATTAAGAGGACATTCTACACAGAAACAACCGAGTGTATGTTCTTCTCATCAGCTCGTGGGACATTCTCTAAGATTGAGCATATCCTAGGACTGAAAGTATGTCTCAAAAAATTTTCAAAAACAGAAATTATACCATGTATATTTTCAGAACACAGTGGAATAAAACTAGAAGTCAACCCTAACAGGAACTTGCATATCTACACAAAGTTGTGGAAACCAAACAAGCTTCTGGTCAATGATCACTTCATAAATGAAGAAATCTAGATGAAAATCAAAAGATTCTTTGAACTAAATGACAAAGGAGACACAAGTTATCGAAACCTGTGGGACACAACTAAAGCAGTCTTGAAAGGAAAGTTTATTTCCATAAATGCCTATATCCAATAGTCAAAAAGATCACATATAGACCTCATCCGCGCTTGAAGTTTCCTGACCAGCGACTCTTTCTCTATCCCCACCCCCCACCCCACCCCCCAGCCTTTCCCCCTCTTTCTGTGTGTCACTGCTTGGGGGGTTTTAATCAGTTTTTAAACAGTTATTGTCACCTCTCCCTACCCTCCCCTCTCACCACGCGGCCCCCCACCTTTACCTACTCAAGTTCTTCACCCCTTTTGACATTTTTTCTGAAGGCTGATGGGGGGGAGGGTGGAAGAGAAAGAGTGAAGAAAAGTTGCGAACGTCTTCTCTCTTCCTGAGCCTCCCGCTCCCACCCACCCCTCAGCGCAGGAGAAGATAATATAGTGAAGAGAAGCGGAGGAAGAGGGAGCGACGGGACGGGACCGAGCGGCGGCGTAGCCACCCTCCCGGCTCCGCGGTGGCGCCTCGCTAGCCCGGGAGGTGAGGGGGGCCTGCGGGGAGACGCCGTGACAAGTTTCGTTTCCCTCAGAGGGAGTCGGGAGGTCGCCTGCCCCAAAAGCTTTCAGCCCAGCGTAAAGCTGTTGGCGCGAGGGAGCAAAGGTAAAGAATGATGTAATGCACTGGCTGCCCCAAAGCATCTTTTGTTGTGGAATGGTTATTCCAGTCATCTCTTTATGAATCAAATGTGAGGGGCTGCTTTGTGGACAGAGTACTTTGCAAGAGCACATCAACTGGAAAGAGAAAGAGACATTCACTTGGAGGGCTCTTGCTGAAAATGGGTTTAACTCTCCTTTTACCAGTCACCACCAGCCTGACCTCATGCATTTTTAGTACAATGGAGTGGCTGAGCCTTTGAGCACACCACCATTACATCATCGTGGCAAATTAAAGGAGGTGGTGGAAAAAGAGGACTTATTGTTGTCATGGCCCATGAGATGATTGGAACTCAAATTGTTACTGAGAGGTTGGTGGCTCTGCTGGAAAGTGGAACGGAAAAAGTGCTGCTAATTGATAGCCGGCCATTTGTGGAATACAATACATCCCACATTTTGGAAGCCATTAATATCAACTGCTCCAAGCTTATGAAGCGAAGGTTGCAACAGGACAAAGTGTTAATTACAGAACTCATCCAGCATTCAGCGAAACATAAGGTTGACATTGATTGCAGTCAGAAGGTTGTAGTTTACGGTCAAAGCTCCCAAGATGTTGGCTTTCTGTCTTCAGACTGTTTTCTCACTGTACTTCTGAGTAAACTGGAGAAGAGCTTCAACTCTCTTCACCTGCTTGTAGGTGGGTTTGCTGAGTTCTCTCGTTGTTTCCCTGGCCTCTGTGAAGGAAAATCCACTATAGTCCCTACCTGCATTTCTCAGCCTTGCTTATCTGTTGCCAACATTGGGCCAACCCGAATTCTTCCCAATCTTTATCTTGGCTGCCAGCGAGATGTCCTCAACAAGGAGCTGATGCAGCAGAATGGGATTGGTTACGTGTTAAATGCCAGCAATACCTGTCCAAAGCCAGACTTTATCCCTGAGTCTCATTTCCTGCGAGTGCCTGTGAATGATAGCTTTTGTGAGAAAATTTTGCCATGGTTGGACAAATCAGTAGATTTCATTGAGAAAGCAAAAGCCTCCAACGGGTGTGTCCTAGTGCACTGTTTGGCCAGGATCTCTCACTCTGCCACCATCGCCATTGCCTACATCATGAAGAAGATGGACCTGTCTTTAGATGAAGCTTACAGATTTGTGAAAGAAAAAAGACCTACTATATCTCCAAACTTCAATTTTCTGGGCCAACTCCTGGACTATGAGAAGAAGATTAAGAACCAGACTGGAGCATCAGGGCCAAAGAGCAAACTCAAGCTGCTGCACCTGGAGAAGACAAATGAACCCGTCCCTGCGGTCTCAGAGGGTGGACAGAAAAGTGAGATGTCCCTCGGTCCACCCTGTGCCGACTCTGCTACCTCAGAGGCAGCGGGGTAGAGGCCTGTGCATGCTGCCAGTGTGCCCAGCGTACAGCCGTCACTGTTAGGGGACAGTCCACTGGTACAGGCGCTAAACGGGATCCACCTGTCCTCAGATAAGCTGGAAGACAGCAGTAAGCTCAAGCGTTCCTTCTCTCTCAATATCAAATCAGTGTCGTATTCAGCCAGCGTGGCAGCATCCTTACACGGTTTCTCCTCATCAGAAGATGCTTTGGAATACTATAAATCCTCCACTGCTCTGGATGGGTCCAACAAGCTATGCCAGTTCTCCCCGGTTCAGGAAGTGTCAGAGCAGAGTCCTGAAACCAGCCCCGATAAGGAGGAAGCCAACATCCCCAAGACACCCCAGGCCGCCAGGCCTTCAGAGATCCAGAGCAAGCGATTGCACTCAGTAAGAACCAGCAACAGTGGTGCCACCCAGAGGTCCTTCTTGTCTCCGTTACACTGAAGTGAGAGCGTGGAGGACAATCACCACACCAACTTCCTTTTTGGCCTTTCCACCAGCCAGCAACACCTCACCAAGTCTACTGCCGGCCTGGGCCTCAAGGGCTGGCATTCGGATATCTGGGCTCCCCAGACCTCGACCCCTTCCCTGACCAACAGTTGGTATTTTGCTACAGAGCCCGCTCACTTCTACTCTGCCTCGGCCATCTATGGAGGCAATGCCAGCTATTCTGCCTATAGCTGTAGCCAGCTGCCCACCTGCAGTGACCCAGTCTATTCTGTGCGCAGGCAGCAGAAGCCAAGTGACAGAGCTGACTCTCGGCGGAGCTGGCATGAAGAGAGCCCTTTTGAAAAGCAGTTTAAATGCAGAAGTTGCCAGATGGAATTTGGAGAGAGCATCATGTCAGAGAACAGGTCGCGCGAGGAACTGGGGAAAGTGGGCAGTCAGTCTAGCTTCTCAGGCAGCATGGAAATCATTGAGGTCTCCTGAGAAGAAAGACACTTGTGACTTCTATGGACAGTTTTTTTCTTGTTCACAAAAAATATTCCCTGTAAATCTGAAATATATATATGTACATACATATATATTTTTGGAAAATGGAGCTATGGTGTAAAATCAAAAGATGGATCAACCCAGTTGTTCTCTCTTAACATCTGCATTTGAGAGGTCAGCTAATATTTCTCTCAACAAAAGTGGAAGGGCAGATGCTAGAATTCCCCCTAGATGGAGGAAACAGTTTTATTCAGTGAGTTGCACATGCTCTTGTTCTCACAAAAGCAAGGGCATTTGGTGTTAGAGGACAAAATCCCCCACCATTTTCATGTTGTGCTACAAGGAGATCTCAAATACTCATCTTTGTCCAGACCCTTCCCTAGTGCACCTTAGCGCTGAGACTAAGCCAGCTGTGGGTTGGGTAGGTAGACCCTGCTAGGGACAGAGCCTAATGGTAAATCCAAGAGAAATGGTCACATCCAAAGCCGATGCACAGATCCAAGCTCACCTGACGGCCGAGTGACGCGCGCATCATTCTGCTGGACAGAACATTAGGGGCCTTGCCAAGATCTACTTTAGAACCAACCCAGTACCTCAGACAGGAAAGTCAGGGCTTTCATCACTGCCATGTCTGGTGGCCCGTTTTCTAGGCATTGTGAATAGGTAGATAGCTAGTCACACTTTTCAGACCAATTCAAACTGTCTATGCACAAAATTCCATTTGGGCCTGGATGGAGGTAGTTTTTTTTTTTTTTTTCCTTCTCAGCTTTATGAATAAAGTGAGGGGAAACCACCTAGGATTCAATTTAATGGCCAGGAATCTGGCAGCCTAATGATTTAAGCTAAGGTTGGGAGGCTAAAATAGTCTACCTCCCTCTTTATAAATCAAAGAATTGTTTAAAATGGGATTATTAATCCTTTCAAGAAAGATTAACTTGGTTTAAAGCCAAATGTGAATTTATTGGGGCTGGTAGCAGAGAAGCAGCAGCACCTTCGAGTTCTCAGCTAAAGTAGATGTTCTCCACTTCTGTTTCACTGCATGGATTGTTGGTAAAATCCTAACAACAAGGCAGAATTTTATAGGAAACTACCAAGAGAAGAACTGTGGAAAGATTAAGGAAGGTAAAAATCGCTGAGGAGAAGCAGGAAACTTTTTCCCTAATAGCATATGAAGAAGGTGGTATTTCTATAATTTCTTCAGACTTTCAGATTTACCAAGAGGGCTGAGAAAGGCTTTGGTAAGCAAGGAATATTCTGAATATGACGGTATAGGAAGGTGAGGAGAAGACTGTTTTGTTAGTTGTGAGTAGAGTGGAAAGCCACAGCCAAGCTATTTCCAGAAACTCCCCACAGCATGGTTTTGAAGGGGCAGATCCATGTGGAGCGAGACCAAGGTGGCTTCTCAGTCCTTGACCTACAATCACTGTATGGAATCAGTCCTGGCAGCTGAAAATTGGAGGTGATTAGAGCAAGTACACAAGCGATAGTACAGATCTGCTTTTAAACTTCCTGGCTTGAGTTTTATCAGTGACAGTGTGGTCCTCTTTTGAAACCTTAATTCACATCAGCAGCTTTCTTGGGGTGGGAGTATGGGACGGGTGTTGCCATTGTTCTTTCCTTTACTGTAAGTGTAGCTAGTTGCTGACTCATATCTCAGGTTTTTTCTATGTTTGAGAAATGGACATTTCTTTGACTAGGATGTGACTTAATGTTTCCTATGGTGACTGCTAAAACCAGCATAGAATGACATGATTCAAAACTGACTGATTTGATCATGAGGATATGAGCTTCACAGACATAACAAGTTATGCACAAATAATGTGTCTGTGCCATGGGTATAAAATGAAGACAGAAGAGAGTGAACTACACAGGGAGTACATTGTTACCATTCTGAAAAAGTTCTGCTAAGTGATCTGAGTTTTTATATATACATTTACATCCTTCAAGTAATCAGACATCCTCAAGTTTCACACAGTAATTTTTGATGTGTTATGTATGCACACACACAAAATGTGTAACAGTTCACCGCTTCCAGAATCTGGTCACATCTGTCAAACATTTTTTCGGAAATGAAAGCAATAGCTCCACAGCTGAGTATGTTTCAGGAGGGTTGGAGGACTTGGTTTTAAGGAGATCTCTGGGCAGAAGTTTGCATTCCGTCATTTAGGGTTTCTTTTGGCCCTGGTCCCCTTCCTTCCTTTAACTGTGATGTAGTCACACACTACGACTGTTAGTCCTTGATCACTAATGTCAAATAATCAATTCCTGGAATCAAGAAGACCATGACGAAGGGGCGGCCTGAGGCAAGCCTGGCGCTGCCGGGCGTTTGCAGCGTGGGGGCTCCTTCAGCGTGGGGTCATGGGGGAAGCCCTGGAGTCTACTAGGATGCTACAGGTGGTGATTTTAAAGAACAGAACTAGAATTCTATGTGAGAAATGCTGGAAAATGGTTTAGGACATTTGTAAAGTTAGGTGGAAAGACTGTATAAATGTTTAATATGAATATAGTGTTCTTTTGGAGTAAGGCAAGCTATTGAATGATTTAACTGTGCATTTCTCATTTTGATGTGTCATGTATGTTAATATGATGAAATAAAATCAAAACTGGTACCTGTTTATACGTAACTGTGAGAAAGGACCTCTCTTTGCGGCTGTACACTCGGTGGGAACCATATCACCCAAGTTGCCAAAGGAGGCAGTAGTGGAACCTGTCCTGTTCTTATGTAAACAAGGATTTAGCTGAAAATAAAGTGGTGGTGTTGTCAGATAAAAAAAAAAAAAAGAAAAAAAAAAGATCACATATAGACAGCATAATGAATTGACTCAAAGAGCTGGAAAAAGAAGAACAGACCAACCCTGAACCCAGCAGAAGTGAAATTAACAAGATTAAGTCAGAACTAAATGAAATTGACAACAGGGAAACTATACGGAAGATTAATAGAACAAAAAGTTGGTTCCTTGAAAAAATAAACAAAATTTAGAAGCCTTTTGCTACACTAACAAAAAGCAGAAAAGAAAAATCTTTAATAAACTCCATCATGAACAATAAAGGAGAAATTACAACTGATGCCACAGAGATACAAGATATAATTTATGAATACTGCAAAAACCTTTAAGCACAAAAACTGGAAAATGTGCAGTAAATGGACAAATTCTTAGAAACACACAACCTCCCCAGGCTCAACCAGAAAGAAATAGAATTCCTGAACAGACCAATATCAAGTACTGGAATTGAAACACCAATAAAATACATTCCTAAAAAGAAAAGTCTCAGAGGAGATGGTTTCATACCCGAATTTTACCATACCCACAAACAAGATCTGGAGCCTATTCTGCAGAAATTATTTCACAACACTAAAAAGGATGGAATCCTCTGCAGAACATTTTTTTAAGCCAACATTACCCTGATACCCAAACCAGGAAAGAATGCAACAACAAATAGAAAACTATAGAACAATATCCCTTATGAATATAGATGCAAAAATTCTCAACAAAATTCTAGCTAATCAAATCCAGGTGCTTATCAAAAAAATAATCTATCACAACCAAGTGAGCTTCACCCCAGGGATGCAGGGATGGTTCAACATACACAAATCTATAAATGTAATTCACCATAGATGGGGCTTACCTGAAAATGATACAAGCCATATATGACAAACTCACAGCCAACATTATTCTGAATGGGGAAAATTGAAAGCATTCCCACTTAGAACTAGGACAAAGCAAGGTTGCCCACTATCTCCACTTCTACTCAACATAGTGCTGGAAGTCCTTGCTACAGCAATCAGAAAAGAGAGCAGAATTAAGGGCGTCTAAATGGGAAGAGAAGAAAAGAGAAGAAGAGATCAAACTCTCACTCTTTGCTGATATGATATTATATGTAGAAACCCCCAAGGATTCAACCAAGATACTCCTTGAATTGATAAATGAATTTGATAAAGTCTCAGGATACAAAAACAATACACAGAAATCAGAGGCAATTGTATATGCCAACAACAGTCAAAGTGAGAACCAAATCAAAGACTCAATTCCCTTCAAAATAGCAACAAAAAAATAAAGTACCTAAGAATATATTTAACTAAGGAGGTAAAAGACCTCTACAGGAGACTATGAAACACTGAAGAAGGAAATAGCAGATGATGCAAACAGGTGGAAGACCATACTATGATCTTGGGTAGCAGAATAAAGATTGTTAAAATGTCCATACTACCTAAAGTGATTTACATAGTCAAAGCAATCACTATTAAAATACCATCATCATTTTTCACGGATATAGAAAAAATAATTTTATGCTTTGTATGGAACCAGAGAAGATCCTGTAGAGCAAAAGCAATCCTAGACAATAAAATCAAAATGGGAGGTATCAAATAACCAGACTCCAAATTAAACTATAAAGCTATAGTAATTAAAACAGCTTGCAACTGGCACAAGAACAGGGACATTGACCAGTGGAACAGAACAGAGAACCCAGATATAAAACCATTCTCATATAGCCATCGAATTTTGACAAAGCAGACAAAAACATAAAATGGGGAAAAGAATCCTTAATCAATAAATGGTGCTGGGAAAATTGGATAGCCACATGTAGAAGACTGAAACAGGATTCACACTTTTTACCTCTCACAAAAATCAATTCCCGCTGTGTAACACACTTGAACCTTATGTATGAAACTATTAGAAATCTAGAGGTAAACGTTGGAAATACACTTCTAGACATTGACCTAGGCAAATAATTTATGAAGAAGACCCCAAAGGCAGTCACAGCAATAACAAAAATAAATAAATGATACCTGATCAAATTAAAAAGCTTCTGCACAGCCAAAGAAACTGTCAAGCAAGCAAACAGACAATCCACAGAATGGGAGAGAATTTTGGCAAGCTACGCATCTGATAAAGGGCTGATAACTAGAATCTATTTAGAACTCAGGAAAATCAGCAAGGAAAAATCAAACAACCATATCAGATAGTGGGCAATGTACATGAACAGAAACTTTCCAAAAGAAGACAGAATAGCCAACAAACATAAAAAATGCTCAACATCTCTAATCATCAGGGAAATACAAATCAAAACCACAAGGAGATATCACCTATGTCCAGTGAGACTGGCCTTTATTATCAAGTCCCAAAACAATAAATGTTAGCATGGATGTGGAGCAACAGGAACATTCCTACATTGCTGGTGGGACTGCAAACTACTTCAACCTCTGTGGAATGCAATATGGAGACACCTTAAAGCAATACAAGTAGATCTATCATTTGATCCAGGAATCCCATTACTGGGCTTCTACCCAAAAGAACAAAAGTCACTCTATGAAAAAGACACCTGCACTCGAATGTTTATAGCCACACAATTCACAGTTGCTAAGATGTGGAAACTACTGAAGTGCCCATCAATACATGAGTGATTTAATATAATATGGTATGCCATGGAGTATTATTAAGCTAGAAGAAAC